CAAAACTGAAAAGACTAACGAAGAGACAAGCGTTCAAACGATTACCACTTCATCTAATGCTGAAAATTACAATACGTTTAGCACTGAAAACGAGAGACAAGAGTTGTTTGAAAGGAACGAATCAACGTTTGTAATGGAGACGAAAACTCAAACAAATGGTGAGATCGGGAGCCGAACGTCTCCATTGAGGACGGCTTACAAAAGGGGAACTGAGAAGAGAGGAGAGGCTGTGGTCATTGTTTCGCCCACCAAATCGCCAACGAAGCCGAGTCTTATCCCACGATATATAGCGAGTCCTCCGAACCCGAACTCAACCAATAATTTAACGAAATCTCAAACCAGAAATGAAAGCAATAATAGTTCGCAAATCAAAAGTTCATTCATTAAACAAAAGTCATATTCGAGTGAAGAGTCGACTAAACTGAGGATTTTTGTGCCATTCAGTCATTCAGACCAACAAAATGATAATAAAATCCAACTGAGAGTCGATTCGCCGACATTACAGCTGAAGACAACAGAAGCCAAACGCTTACCGATTGTCGACATGTAATTCAATACAAAACAAATCTATTTTTTGTCTTTTATTTAATTGTCAGTCGTTTTAAACATGTTAACAAATAATCCATTATTTGGTGTATAATATAATAATTATTTTGTTGAGACAATCATTACATTTTAGAGAACAACTCATAATAAATACTTTATTGTCAAATAATTATAAATCAAATACAAAAATACATATAATTTATGATAATATAAATATATCTTAAAATTTAAATGAAAATGTATAACAATTTTGTTGAAATTTAATTATTTTTTATTTTATAAAATAATTTTTTATTTTTCAAAATATATTTCTTATTAGTTCAATAAAATGCTAATTTTAATTATATCGTAAATCACCGCATATATAGTTGTCTGCAATTATATAACTTTTGACAACCAATTCAACCATAAATCCAGGTATAACAAGGCGTTCAGAAATAAATGTCCATTTTGGCCATAACTTAAAAACGAATAGAGATAATTTGATTCTGTCTTTGGATTATGATCACACTAACCCATGTCCACATCTCACATAAAATTTATCAGGATTGATTAACATTAAGCGTATATATTTTCACAAAAACTGAGAAAAAAATTGTTCAAAAAATTTATTGGTATAGGAAAACTTTTTTCCTGTTTGATAAAAGTCATAAGTGTCTATATAATTATGATAGCTACACATCTCCTTTATAATTTAAACATATAATTTTACCTTTGAAATTTCTGATTATTTTTTCCGAAAGTTAAAACCAATGCATGTATTGACAAAATTCAACTTTGTAATTTTTTTCAATGTTCATTTTAGACTTACAGTGAAATGCAGTGTCTGTGAGAGAAATTATTTTTCTAAAAAAGCTCATTAATAAAATTAACAAAGTTAAATTTGGCCTATAGGTGCCTTGGTTCTACACCTTATTATAAAAAAGTAGAGCTTGCTGAGATAAAATTTTAAATTGAGATTATAGATGAGATGTGTAGCTATCATAATTATATAGACACTTATGACTTTTATCAAACAGGAAAAAAGTTTTCCTATACCAATAAATTTTTTGAACAATTTTTTTCTCAGTTTTTGTGAAAATAAATACTCTTAATGTTAATCAATCCCGATAAATTTTATGTTAGATGTGGACATAAGTTAGTGTTATAATAATCCGAAGATAGAATCAAATTATCTCTATTCGTTTTTAAGTTATGGTCAAAATGGACATTTATTTCTGAACGCCTTGTTAGTTGCCGTGCATTTAATCAATCAATTAAAATGCTCTTAACATTTATGTGAAGTAAAGTATTACTTTATAATCAAATTAATTAATTACTTAATACATTACATTACATTCAACATACATTTCTGTGTATTTACCTAGAAATAAATGTTTAAATATTTATAAATTCAATATTTTAATATTTTCAATAAATAACTGAAATTGAATGCAATTTAATTTTTAGACATTCGGTGCAATTATATAGGAATATAATTGCGGTAGTTTTCGAGACGATTAAAATGTGTAAAATTCGATTACTGTATTTGACTATATGCGGTGTTTTACGGTCATACAGTTTGGTGGCGTGTAATTAGTAGTGCGTTCAATTCATATTTTTTTAAATATGACAGTCGGTTAATGATATAAGGCCAGGATTTGGGATCTATCCGAATCAAGAAGTAACAAATTCGTTGGCAAAAGTTATAAGTCAATATAAAATATTTAAAAAATATTTGGGTTTTAAAAAAATATGCATATGTATTAGCGATTTTCGGACTGTAAACAGTAAATTGTGGTCGTAAATCATGCCTATGGCTTATATTTTTCGGGAACTCTCGAAATCAAAATATATAATATTTATTTTCTCAAATTTTGGCCTATGTATGTTGCCGAAATGTCCATTTTTATATTTTAAAATCCCAAAAATGCATTTATTTCATGAAAACAAGAATCACACAGCGATGCTTTACGTTAACCACAATTCGGATATTTGAATTAGAATAAATCAGTATTATCTACATATTTAATATGAGTACAATAGATTTCCAATAGACTCAGCATTATTCTCATAGGATTAGCATTAGTCCAATAAACTTAACGTTAACTATGCTAAACCTGTCATAGACTTAACATTAGTCCAATAGGATTAACATTACCCATAGGATAAAATTAGCCCATTTTTAAATATAGCTATAAACTTAAGCAGTAGGTCTCATAGAGAGTGGGGTAAAGGGGGGTACTAACGATTGTATCAACCACATCATTCGTAGCTAAATTGTGTTTAAAAACAAAAAATATGAACTTTAAATGCATTATAATGTCCGATTGACCACTAATGCGGCCACTGGAGTCATACTTTTTAGATAAAATTATAAAAAATATAAAAAAATATTTGAGGTATTTTAACACAATATTATATAAAATATTTGATCAAAATAAAAAAATATAACTTATTGCACTAGTAATTAGTGGTGATTTATTGCTGAGGATTTGCATTAACTGTAGTGTCTGTAACACTACAGACTGTATAATAAGAAGTTCTAATTTAGAACTGTTTGTCAATTATAACCTATAAATTATAGAAATGTCACTTAATATGCATTCCAATTGATATCCAATTAATTCAATAAATTATTGACAATAATGCATAATATAAATGATTTTTATACAGAATTAATGACATATATTAAAGATTTTTGTTTTAAAATATTAAAATAAAGATTCATTTTCAGCTATTTAAAATTGAACTTGTAGATATTAAATTACAAATGGTTAAAATATTTATTTTTGGCAACTTAATAGTTTCATACTCAGATTTGCTTTATTTATTAGAAAAAGCCTGATAGACGTTTAGAGTAATTTTTATCATTAACAATTTGATAAATAAGTTAGATTGTTAAAATTGATCAAGAAGTTTTTGAGTTATAGAAGTTTCCAATTCGCGCCACTCATATGAACGCCAATCATGTGATGAAAAATAATAAAAAGTTGGAAAACTTGGAGTTTTGGAGAAAATAGTTTGCATTACTCGTCATATTTGTCACGCATTCCCCCAAAACACATGATATGACACAACACTTCACTATTGATTACATACAGTACTGTATTCGTTAATAAACTGATTATTTTTGTTATCAATGTCTGATTGAACTCTGAAATTGTATTAAATGTATAAATGATTAGTTAATAGTTATGAATGAAATATCGGCAGAAGAGGACAATTTGCCCACAATTGTTGTGACGGGTATTGTATTGTATTGTTTACTATAATAACCGCCCCTTTTATTGCATAACCACTTCATTGTTAGCCAATGTTTGCTATTATAAGAAACCAAATCACGAAAACCCCCGAAATTGTCTGCAATTCAAATGATTTGTTGCCAAAAGTGATGTCAAAAGATATACCATTTGCTAAATGTTATGCAATTAAATGTTAAATACCAGTCAATACGGTTAACGCTAAAACAAAGTTATGCAAAAAAGTTTATAGTAATTGTAAATTTATAACTAAATTAAAAATAAATAAATGTGTTATTTAGTAAATAAGTATTTCTAGAATAATTGTTATATGAGATATGAGCATGGTCAATTCTATACATGTATTAGAACTAAAACTACTACAAAAAGTACTAAAACTAGAATATAAACGATTGAATGCATTGATGGCATAGGGTTTGGAATATTCCGTAACTATTCGTCGAACCCTTCGTGGGATTGCGTCCAACGGTTGCGACTGAAAGGCGTTAAACTTGTAATACAAGAAATACCCGTCGCTTACGAGGAGGTCGACAAACGTGTGCCACATATTTGGCAAACATATAAACCATTCGTAAATATTAAGTCAATTCTTATGAAATATGAAAATGTGATTAAATGTATGCCTGGATTAGCTGGTGATTCACTGCGGAGTGTCGTGTTTGGCCAAATGCATCACTTTGGAGACCAAAGCTCTACCACAACACATATTGTACGATAAGCCCGACGTTTACGGCCGACTCCCGAACGGCATTCAATCCGCAGAAAGTGATCCACAAAATTGCTATCAATCTATTGAAGCAAACGATTCGCACGATTGCATTGAATGCGGCATTGATTTGAAACAAGTTTGCCATCGAGTGAACCAACATTTCGACAATGGATTCATTCCAATAGTGATCCACAAAATTGCTATCAATCTATTGAAGCAAACGATTCGCACGATTGCATTGAATGCGGCATTGATTTGAAACAAGTTTGCCATCGAGTGAACCAACATTTCGACAATGGATTCATTCCAATGCCAGCCGTTCTCTCGTCAAACGCCGGAAGGTTTGCACACTTTTTTGCATTTGAAAACCACAACCCGTTATAATTGTCTACCATTTGGTCAGATATTTATGCGAATATATATTCAGTTC